AGACAGATCAGCTCAGTCACACCTCCCCCAGTCTCGGGGGAGGGGAACTCGAAAGCGCTCCACGCGTTTTGCTTCTGCCCTCCGAGTCGACGAATTCAGCCCCGAACCGGAGCTTCCAGAACCGTGTCGTCTCGCACCCGTTTGTTTCTCCTGCTCGTGGTGGGGGAGGCGGTAGAAGGTGAGCCGAGCTCTCGCTCTGCCTCCAGGAAGGAAGGCCCCCCCCCCCGCAGAAGGGCGTGCAGGGAGGCCAGAGTCAGGGCGCGGCCCCCGTTCAGCCTCCTGCGAGGAGCAGCAGAAAACGGGTCGTTCGTCCTCTCAGTTTGAGGAGGTGTTTGGGCCGTCGTCGACCCGACACGTCCTGTGGTCTGCAGCCGCTGCACCACCGAGGCACGGAGCGTGTTCAGCGCGGCGGCTGGTTTTTATTAGTATTTAATATGTACCAGGTTTTTACAACATAACTATTGTGTACATAGTTGGCAGGTTGCAGGCATGGACCCCTGTACGCTCCCTGAAAGTACCTGTAAGTACCTGTAAGTACACAGTACCTACTTGCATGGTACAAAACTATAACTTACCAGGTCCATGCCTAATAAGTATAAGATACACAGGAAGTGCCATGTAAATACTGAGTATGCACTGGTACCTATCTAGTATTTACCGTGTATATACTTGGTAAGGAGCAGGTATGTACTCTGTAAGTATGCACTACCTGCCATGAAAAATCCCTGTAAGTACCTTGTATCTCCTAAGTACTTACCTTGTAAGTTCCTGGTATGTACTTTGTAAGTTACTTGCATGGTAAGTACTGAAAACTTAAAAACTTGTCATAAATTTGTCGACCTCGTGAAATTTGGGGGTAAAACTTTAGAAAACTGAAAGTTTGCGTCTCTTTGGAGCGTTTTGTTCGTTTAGAAAGTTTTCAGGGCGGCACGTTCTGCGATTTGTCCGTCTTGGTCCGCGGTGCCGTTAAAGACGCCTCCGTGTTTTTTCTGCAGCGTGGGGGGCGGGTTGTTTTCAGAGGACGTCCGGTAATCTGTGACACAGGAAACGCTGAGACTGACAGGCACAGGGCGGGTGAGGGTGAGGGAGGAAACGAGGTGTTGGCCGGCTTGACTCAAAACCTGACAGGTCGTGTCGGGGGGGGGGGGTTGTGTTTTTAGTAAAGGCTGCCCGTCATCGGAGCAGCTCTGCTCTAATCTTGCAGGAGCTGATGACCCTCCTGTTTAAAAACAACACGTATGGTTCACCTCCTCCTCCTCCTCCTCCTCCTCCGAGCAGGAGTTCAAACATTTTATGAACTCAGAACTCAAAATAAATGTAAATCTCTACGAGCTCCTGATCGGAGGAGAATTCAGCACTCGGTGAACCCAAAGGTCAAAGGTCGTGGCGTCTTCGCTCTAAAAACAACATGGCAGCTCGACTTAGGCTTGAAATCTGAAGGAACCACGAGACTTCTGGGCCGGAACCAGACCAAAGAGATGTTTACCCAGAATGCACTGCAGCAAACGGCTCCTGCCAGCTGTCCGCACGGTGGTGAAGCGTTGATGGTTTGGACTCCTGTCAGTGGACCAGGAGCCTCCTCTGTAGATCAAAGGGTTCTGAGTCCAACCACTAAAGGTCGGACCAAACTGGGTCCAACAGGACCGTGATCCAGAACACAGCAGCTGGTCTACGACAGAACGGGTCAAAGAGAACTGAATTCATGGTCCAGTCAGAGTCTAGAACCTCAACCTGACAAGAAACCAACAATGTAAATGAGAGTGGGCCAGAACTCGTCCAGAACCACGAGAGTCCGTCAGAAGTCCAGAGTTCTGCTGAACGTTCAAGATGTTTGAGGTTCCAACTTCTCCATCCCAAAGAAAATACTGTTTAGATTTAAAACCGTTTGTTACTGAAGCGTTCACACTACTGTGATCCAGTTTTCTTCCATACATGCTTATTGCTGCTACTTTCAGCCTTTTCTACTACTTTAGCTACTATTCAGCTGTTTTTGCTAATTTCCTAATTTTTGTGCTCATTTCGGCTTATTTAAACCCAATTCAGCAAATATGTGTTCTTTCTGCATTCTTCTGCTAGCTTAGGCTTGTTCCTCCCTTTCAGCTACATTTCAGCATGTTTTAAGCTAATTTCGGCTGTTTTTCAGCAAGTTCTTCTGCTATAAGCATCCACACTTTATTTTCACAGGAAAAGCAGTTTCTCTACTTTTTAATTTGGTTTTATTTTGAAACCTGCCTGTGGTTTGTGGTTCATCGAGTCGAGGAGCGTTGTCCTAGATTTCACTGCAGCAAAGCAGGGCCAGAGGGCGCGCGCGCACGCACGCACGCACGCACGCACACATGCACGCACAGCCTCCGAGCCACGTGTCCGCCCTCGTCTTGTGAATTAATGGCTGCCAACGCTGCAGCTCTCCAGCAGGACCAGATCTGGTCCTGGTCCTGTTGGACGGGGGTCTAAACCAACTGGCAGCTGGGTTCAAGGGGGCGGGGTCCAGTTTCAGGGGGTCCGGTGGAGTCACCCGTTCTGTTCTGTCAGTCTCGGTCCAAACGGTGACTCAAACCTGAGCCTGAGCCGGACTCGTTTATTGCGGGCCTGTTCCGATGACCCGGTTCTGCTTTCTGAAACGTGCGCACCCGTCCGTGCGCTCTGCAGCTCTTTACGATCGGCTGTGGATAACGCAGCTCAGACAGGAAGTCACACTTCTAAGATAAGACTTTACGACGAGGCGTGGCGCGTCAGACGTGCTGCTTCGTCTGGGAACACGACGCCTCCTCCTCTCTGCGCACCGGACCGGTTCTGGAGGAACCGATTCGTGACGGGCCGGCAGGTCTTCAGAGCTGTGATGTTGAACGTAAACAACAACAACAGAATTATTTTAAATCTCATGAAGCCATGTTTCACTCAGTGGAGAATTTGTCAGCTGCTCATGCTAGAGGCACTAATGCACCCCCATACCATCAGAGAGGCAGGCTGTTGAACTGTGAGCTGATAACAGGCTCGATGGTCCCGCTTCTTTTTAATACGGAACAGAACCAGACCTGGTTTTAATACAGTGGCCCCTGAGGGCCCGAAGATCACATGCGTTTAAAAACAGTGGAGCATTTTCAAAATAAAGTTCCTCGACAGATTAGAACCTGCTCCCGTCTCCGCTTCTGAAGTCTGCTTCATTTGCTTTTCATAACTAAGGTTGTCGTCGTGCACGTTAAAGTCCTGGATCTGGGGCGCTAACAAACGTCCGCTGCACGAGAACCACAGAGTGTGACGTCACGGGGCCGCAGCGGCCTGTGCGGCCTCGGCTGAAGCAGCAGATTTCGTCTTGAAAACCTGAATCCAGCTCACGGGTCAGGATTTGACCCGAGGAGGCAAAAAACTGACGTGAACCGTGAAGCAACACGTTTTGTAAAAACTTGCAACGATGAGGTGAAAGGAACAGGAAGTGACGCCGGCTCTGCTGCGTCCGCCCTGGAGTCGGGTCAAGCTCGTTTTCTTCACTTCCTGTTCCCGGGCGCTCGGGAGCTTCTGGTCCCTGCGACAACATGGACAAGTGATCCGGTCCTCGTTGGGTTTGCACGACTTTCTGTCTCATTTATGAAAAGGTCCAAAAATCTGAACCCCGTCCGTCTCAAAGGATCTGAAGTGTCTCTTTAAAAGCGTGTCCTGAGATCTTTACGACTTCCTGATAAAAACATCTCACGTTCTGCTGACCCCAACATGTCCATGACTCCCGAGTCCTGGACCGTCCACGGGGGACTACGGGACAGCTGTGCTGTCGTCCAGCCGAGACAAGTCGGTTGTGACTGCACGGACGTGAGGCGAAGCTCGCCTGACCCGGTACAAGCCCCTGAGGACGCCTCGTGGGAGGGACGGGGGTTTGTCCAAGCGGGACGGCTCGTTCTGTCCACTCCGAAGAGACGACCGGAGAGACACGGAGTGGACACACAGTCCATCACTAAAACAAGTCCACCTCCTTCAGCCTTCAAGACGTCAAAGTGTCTCCTCCAGAACATCTGAAACATCACGTTTGAGATCAAACCGACCGACAGGAGAGTTCATCCAGAGAAGAAAATTAAAATTAAAATATTTACTAAACGTTTGTTTTGTCTCGTTACGAGACGTTTTGAAGAACTTGTTCTGTTGAGCGCTCCGTCTGTGTGTGTGTCTGTGTGTGTGTCTGTGTGTGTGTATGTGTGTGTGTATGTGTGTGTGT